GTGCGTTGTCCCCGCTGCCCCCCTCCTGCAGGGCTGCAGCTGCACGGAGCTGTCGGGCGGCCCAGCTGTGAGCAGAGCGTCCCGGCGGAGCACGGGGCTGTGAACGGATGGGGTGAGAACGGGGGGGGGGGCGGGGAACGCGCTGGGTGGCGGCGATGGGAAGGAGCCCAAGGGGCAGCCGGCAGCGCGCAGTCACCCTCACACCTGCATGAAAGCAGTGCAGAGTTGCAGGGCAGCTGTGGGACACAGCATGCAGGACGGAAGTGCCCGTGACTGCAGCAAAGGGTTTTAGCACAGCGGGGAGTCCTGGCATTACTGTAGGCACTCACACAGCCCATACCCACACGGCTGTGCCTTCTGCACGCTCGCTCCCACTTCCACAGCGCCTGCACAGAGCCCTCTCCCGTGCGGGCACACAATGAAGCACGCGATATCGGGAGATCTGGAAACGCCGTCCGTTCCTCGGGCAGCATTGTGTGCTGTTCCTTATTTATATCCCTGGGGTGGTGTCACAGGTGGGTGATTGTTCCAGCTGACAGCCTGAAAGGCGAAGGAACAAGATTTAACTTCCTGCTATTCAATTAGAGAAAGTGAGCATTCATCACCAGCTGCGGGCTGCTGGCAGGAGTGACCCCGGGAGAGGAGCTGCAGGCAGCGCCCGCTGCCACGGGCACGGTGGGATGCACACGGAGCGCTGCCCACCGTCCGCAGGTGAGGCCGGGTGCAGCGCTTTGCTCTGCTCCGGGGTCACCGCGTTTGTCTCCGGAAGGCAATTGCCCGCTCGGAGCGGAGCCGTGTAGGCGCAGGAGCTGCTCCCCCCAGTACCGGCACGCAGTCCCAGCCCTGCCACCCCTACCCGCGCTCACCCCCTCGTGCTGTTTTCCAGGCTGGCACGTGGCAGCCGCCTGCCTTCATCCTCCCGGCGCTGAGCTCCCTCAGCATCTCCCCGGTGTCCCCAGGACTCCCCGAAGGGCTGTGGAGCACGCAGGGCGTGCAGAGCCCGGGGCTGTTCCTGCTCCATTTCCTTCTCTTTCTCCCCCCCTCCTGATGCTGAGCCGACTGCAGAAGGCGCTCGCACCGCCTCCTCGCCTGTCCCTTCCCTGCGCCATCTGTGACAACTTCACAGCTTCGCACCGGTGCTGTTCTGCTAAGGGTCCCTTTCGTGCATCTCTGCTAGCTCTTAATCCCGCTGTTCCTGCGGGGATTGGAGCAGTTTTCTTTCCCGGCCGGCTGCGATCAGCGGAGATGCGCGGTGCCGCGCCTCTTGGCCGCGCCTGGCATCGCCATCGCTCCGCCGTAGGGCAGCACCGAACCGAGCGCTGCACCGCGGGGAGGGGAACAGCCCGCAGCCACGGGCGGCAGCGCCGAGCCGGGAACGCGCCTGGCTACAGACTGCTGTGAGCATCCCTTCCTCTGTCCTTCGGGCGGACGCGCTCCAAAACCCCGAGGTTTGGGCCGTGTCTGTGCCGAGGGCGGGGGACTCCGGGGGTGTTGGAGTGTTGGAGCGCTCATGGAAGCACCGCCCGCGGCCGCTTCCCCTGCAGTGCCATCCGACGGGCAGCGATGCGGCGGGGCTGCGCGCGGAGGAACGTTTTACAGCAGAAAGCAATTAACCGAATAAAGCCCTTCTTAAAATCCCAGTAATTAAAAACAGTCCCTCCCTCTTGTTTTCCTTTTAAGCCGAAAGTTGCTGTTTACTCATTTGCTTTACAAAGTGTGCCTTGTTGTGGCTTCAGAAGAAATGAAAGTTTGAAGTGGTTGGAGAAGAAAGGCTCCGGGCAGAGCGGCTCCGCGGCGCGCTGCTGTTTGCTCTCGTCTGCTCGCAGGATCGCTGCACACGCAGCCAACGACGGCAAGGCCGTCTGCCGGTCCCATCGCTCCCAGCGCTTGTGAGAAGAAGTGCGTTAGCGTCGCCGGGGAAGGGGGGGGGGGGGGGGGGGGGGGGGCTTTGGAAGGGCTCGGGGCTGTGTGAGGGCCGGACTCCCCGAGTAGTTACAAAGGCGTTGCGTTCCCCGCAGCCCTGGGCTGTTTTCCCACCCCACTCCCCGTGTGGCTTTTGCTCTGTGCAGCCCTAAGGCCGTTCTCCAGTGCTGGACGATGGGGCCGGAATCGGCACGGCGTCAAAAGGGGGAGAGTCAGAGAAGGATACGGTGCAGAACCCTCTGTGTTTGGGGTGAGCCGGCAGCCTCACTGTCAGCGGGATTGCTGCAATATTAATTAACTGCCGCCCATTGCTGCTGGTCTGCAAAGCGAGTGCCCATTGCTGTGGGAGAGGGGAAACGGAGGCACGCGGAGGGCAATGAGAACTAAATGCCAACATCGTCTTATGCTCTCCCACTGGGATGCACTGCTGCTCTGGAGCAGGAAAGGGGTTCTGTCCTGTGCAGAAGCACTTCGAGGTGCCGATGGGCGCAGCTCTGCAGCCCGTCCCACGGGGGCTCCGGGCCGGGCGGCATTCCTGGCCGCGGGGCAATAGGCGTGAGCACAGCGAGGGCAGCAGGGAGCCTCCGCCAGCCCCGAGCAGAGCCGGGATCTGCCCCGTCCCTGCCCGGAGAAGGGTGAGGCCGCGGGTTTGTGGGAAAATGTTGTTTTTCCCTCCCCTGGACTGCCCCCAGCAGTCGGCTGGGCCGGCTCTGAACTGCGTGGGTTGGGGAAGTGGGGGGGGGGGGGGGGGGGGGGAGCGAACAATGCGGTGCCTCTGGTTTGGAGCGGGGCCACAGCAAAATAAGCCGCGTTGGCAGCGCTCCACATCTGACAGCGCGAGGCGGTGCCGCGGCCGAACCTCCAGCTCCCGGCCGAACCTCCAGCTCCCGGCCGCACCACTGCCCCGAGCGCTGCGCGTTGGTGATGAATCCCTCTGCTCCGCCACGGAGCAGGGCGCTGTGTCTGCGTCCCGCCCGGCATCCTCTGCTGCCGCAGCTGTGGGGCTGGCAGCAGCGGTGGGACTGAGGTTAGGAGGTGATGCTGACTGAAGACGTGCGGACAGGGCATTCCAGGCATGCACGGGGTTGCCGCGGAGGTGTCAGTTCACCGGGAGGTAACAGATACGTCCGCTGCTCTGCAGCCGCCTTGCCCTCCTCCCTCCCACATTCCAGCTGCTGCAGCTTTTCACAGCTGGCCGCTCTCCGGGGACATTTCCCAAAGCTAAGGAGGAGGGAGGGGGGGGAGAGGTCCCCACACAGGGGTGGTCAGAGCTTTGAGCTGCGGCCCTGAGCTGCCGGCACGGATAAACGGGGCAGCACGGGGTCCCTGGTGCCGATTCACCCTCAGCCCCGAGAGTTTGCTCCGCTGCAGGGAAGGGCCATCAATCTTCACAGCTCCCTTGTTCCCTGGCCCCAGAGCAGGGCAGCCAATTAGTGCTGGGTGTGATGGATGGCTCAGCCCCGTCCTCGTGACACCCGTCCCCGGGATGCTCCCACCTCGCCGGGCAGGGATCGGCGCTACGGTGCTGCCCAGCTCTCCCCAGCCCTGCCCGGCTGATCGCACGGAGCTGCTCTGTCACACCGACCCCGGGGCTCCACGGGCGGTTCTGAGCAGCGCTCCAGCAGCGCGGGCTGCAACACGGATCTGATTACGGCAGAAGTGGATCTCGAGGTCCCTGCTCTGTTCGTAATGAAGTGCAAGTCTAGAAAAACGTGTTGCCAATTACACTTCAATTGAACCCAGATAAAGGCCCAGAAAAGACAGAGTCTGGACTGGGAATTCCTTTCTGATGGAGAAGAAAAGTGTTCCTGTGGCAGGCCCAGGCTCGGCTTGGTTCAGGCTCGGTGTGATGTGAGCAAGGGCCCAAAATAACTGATCTCTGGATCCCATTTACATAGTTTCATCGGTGGAAAGAGCATTAATCTCTCAAAAACACATGTTTATGGGAAATTCACTTTGGAGATGAATGTCTTTGTAATTCTGTAACACTCTGGAAAGGGGAGAGGAGGAGTGGGTCTCAAAATCACCAAAGTGACACAGCTTCAATTCTTCTGGTTCCGTTTCCCTTTGAACCTTGAAATATAAGCTAACGACTTTTACAACCAATCCTTCAAGGGACTCCTCCAACAAAACACCTGCTTTGCTATGCTTGGGTTTGGGTGGAGGACCCCTTGGCTGGGGCTGAAAAAAGGGTTGCAGGGCTGTGCTGTGCCCCGGGGCTGAGGGCAGCGGCTGCTCAGGAGGGCCGGCACGGTGTGGGGCTGCCATGGCTGCGGCAGATATAGGGCCAACGTGGGCACGGGGGAGGGGAGGCGGGCGCTGGGATCGCCGCCGCCGCCTCTGCAGAAAGCTTTGGGAAAGCCACGTGTTTCCAGATCTCAGCGCCGATTATTTTTTTTCCTTTTTTTTTTTTTTTCTTTTTTCAAAATAAAAGGCATTATTTTTGTACTGTGAACCTCTGCTCCGGTTCCCTCCCTCCGCCCCTCTCTCTCCCACATGCCCACGATTTCATTGCCTTTGGGGATTTTAGCTGCGCAGGGCTCTGCCAAACAGACTCCCATCTCCTCCATGCAAGCTTAGAGAAAGTGAGGTGCTCTATGGGCTGCAGGTCAAAGTTTCCAGAGCTGTGGGATGAGGCAGACAGCAGCAGTTCACCCCCGTGCCATAAAACCCAGTGCTGGGCAGGGGTCGGCCTAGATACCCTGCCAGTGCCAAGAGTGGGCACCTGGGGATGCTCTGAACATGGTGGGGGCTGAGCTCACGGCAGAACCCCACAGGACACCCCTACAGGGAGATGTCCCCGTGCACCATCACTGCTGCCCCTTTGGGTATCGCCCTCCAATCCTGGAGGAGTCGCTTCCACCCGATTCACAATTCTCCCACCCGCCCGCGCCGCGTAGCCGTGTGTGCGTGTGGGGCTGGATGTTGATTTTTCCCTGAAACAACTCAGGGCTTTATCAGTCCCATCTCTTTCCCACGGTTTTCTGTTGCCAGTGAGGTCACCGGTCCCTTTAAACTGGGGCTGAGGCCAATGTGCGGCGGGTGGAAGGGGGGGCCGCGGGCAGGGGGGCGGCGGGCAGAGGGGGACATGAGACGGTTCACACAGACTGTTCCTTTTACAGGAAGACTTGGGATTGCGACCAGCGAGCGGGAGGAGGCGGGGGGGCCTGGGAACCTGGGAGCGCCGGCGCGGCCGCGTAATCCGTCACTCCTGGGAGATGTCTCATTAACCCATTAACCAGGGAGGCTGGGGACGTGCTGGGAGCAGAGCGAGGCGGCAGCCGGGGGTGTGAAAGGCAGAGCGGGGCCAGGGGAGGAGCTGGGGAGCAGACGGGGCGAGCTCCGCGCACAGCTCGCCGCGGGACCGCGCCGCGCTCCGACACGCGTGGGGCTCCGGACACGAGTGGGGCTCCGCCGAGCCCTCAGCCCCGCGCCCTCCTCCTTGGCGGAGCCGCTCCCGGTCGGGATGAAGCGTCTGTGCGAGGAGAGCTCGTCGGACACCGAGTCGGACGGCACCATCGACGTGGGCAAAGAGGAGGAGTACAGGTGGGGAGTGCTCCGCGTCGTCCCGAGAGATAAACGACGCCGGGTGGGGGCTCGGCGGTGCCCGGGAGTGCGGGGGAGCGGGGAGCAGCCCCGCTGTGGGATGAGGGCACCCCGGTTTCGGGCTCTGGCTTTCCTCACTGCCCCGGAGCGGTGACCCGACAGCTCCGGGATCGCGGGGGGTGCGAAGAGGGTTCGCGTGAGAAACGCTTCTCCTCTGCCGAGGCGTTTGTCATGCACCAGCTGCGGCTTTGATCTCCTCTGAAAGGCAGCTCGGGCGGTGAGGGGTGCCCAGTTCTCAGCGTGCACTTTCAGGATGGCAGTTTGCAAGCTCCATCATCCCTCCTCCCTCCTACAGCCCGAGCTGCAGCTCCCTCTGCTCGGAGGAGTGGTGAGGAGAGGACCCGTGTGTGCTCGCGAGGCGCAGCTGCGCTCCCAGGGTTCTGCAATGCTTCCCTGCTCTGCTCTGCTGGCCCAGGGCATCCCCTGCCACTGCCCACCGATTGCGGGCCTGGTGGGCTCCGGGCACTGGGGATGAAGGAAGGGCACTGTTAGCTGCTCCCATCCGAAATTCAGCTGCTTCTGAACTCGTTTTGGCAGCCAAGTGTCCCCCACTCTGCAGCTCCGGGTGACTTAATTCCCTTTTTGAGGAGCTGTCCCACCTGGTGCACCCGGTGCCAGGCTCAGGTTCTCACAAACCGATACAGTTTGGGGCAGCTGGGCACAGCCACGCCACCGCATCCTGCACGCGTTCCCCAAACTCTTACACCGTTCCCAGTGCATCAGCATTTCGCCCACCCTTCTGCTGCACATTGAAACACCTCTCACCTCCTCCCGGCTCTGTAGTACCCCAAAGGACAAAGCGGAGGAATTGTCCTGTTTTGTTTCACTGAGTACAACAATGGAGTTTGATCTCTGTCTGTTCGTATTCCCAAGTGAGACGCAGAGCAGCGCTATGATACGGAGGTACTTATGCTGGTTTGCACTGCGGCTCATGTCACGCAAACATACAGCAGAGAGAACCATCCCCACGCCACGGAGCAGCGCAGCGCAGTGTTAGGCGATGGGGTCAGGCAGAACCAAACGCTCCTGGGTGGGGCGGAGGGAGGGAGGGAGGGAGACGGCGTCTGGACCGGGTTCTGGCTCCATGGGGGTGGTTTGGGAGAACCAGTTCCCCACAGCGGAGTGAGTCACTGCGGGCGGGCGCTGTGTCCGCTGTGCGTGCGTTGTTCCGCAGCTCGGGGTCACTGCAGCAGTGCAGGATGCCGCCTGGGTTTGCTTTGCTTTTTGTCTGGAATAGGAGTTGAAAGATCAGTGCTGCAAATTACAGAATCGATCAAGGAGCAGTGCAGAAATCAGAGCCATCAGAGAGTTCAGCTGCGTGGTTCACAACCGTCAGTCAAACATTTCTGAGATACATTTAGCAGAGAGAGAGTTCTGTTGATCCCACATCTGGAGCTCACAAAGAGCGCTGCGCTTGGACAGCTCTGCAAAGAGATTCAAAACTCTCTGCTGTGGAGTGCAGGCTGCATTCCTGCGCTGCCGGGTCAGCTCGGTGCCATCCCCTGCACCCGTTCCCACCCCACCCGTTCCCACCCCGGCGGCACTCATCTTTGGCACATTTCTGTATGCGGACAGCGCGTGTTTATTCTTGCAAAGCCACCTATGCCTGCACAAAGCCCACCCAGCGGACACAACAGCCTCAGGCAAGAGCCGGAAGGTTTGTGCATGAGGATGAGAGGCCCCAACCCCAGAGCTGCTTTTCCAGCCCCGTGGAGACACTGGTGTTGTCCGAGATGCAAGGAGATGTGCCGGGCAGTGGCTGGTGCAGAAACTTGCAGTGGGCTGCTGAGGGCTCCCACGGGGACAGTGGGATTCAGGCTGTGCCTGGCTCCTGTCCTTGGTTCCTGATCTCTGTGCTGTGGGTAACATTGAGATGAGAACCACAGAAAACATTATTCTGGGATGGGGAGGAGGAACTGCAGATGGCAAATGCATGTAAAACATATGTGCTGCTGAGGTTTGCCTCCAGCTGCTGCAAGCAGCTCTCCCTCTTTTTCCTTCCCAGCCACGTTCCCAGGTCTGTGTCTCCCACCACGACATCGCAGATACAAGCCAGGAAGAAGCGCAGAGGGGTGAGTTCTGTGCTGTGCCGGTGGCACATCCTCGCCTTGGGACACAGGGGGGTCACCCGAACCGGCTCTGCCCCATCCCCTGCAGAACCTCCCTCAGCCAAGGGGAGGTTTTAGCAGAGCTGTGGTCTCAAATCGTGTAGAAAGGGCTGGGGCTGAGGGGAGGAGGAGGCTTCACACGTAGTGAGTGCTGCTTTGCTCGGCTTTTTCACCGAAAGCATTCACTTATGTGGCCCAGTGCTGCTCTCAGCCTGCTGTGAGGGCTCTAAATCTGTGAGACACGCCAGGAATGAGTGTGGTTTTCCTCCCGCAGATCATTGAGAAGCGGCGCCGCGACCGCATCAACAGCAGCCTGTCAGAGCTGCGGCGCCTGGTGCCCACTGCCTTCGAGAAGCAGGTGGGTACCCAGAGCAGCAGGGCTGTGCTCAGTCCTCACTGCAGGGAGTGGTGAAACCGGGCGGTAAAACAGCATTAATGCATTTAGAAATAATGTTCAGGAGCTGAAGGGAGGATGAATTCGATCCAGGCTGCATTTCACAGCTATGAGGAAGCACAGAAATGGGGAATTTCAGTTTGCATGGGGTGATGGTGGGAAGGAATTCCATTTTCTGCTCAGTTAAAAACCTGAGGCAATGCCCAGAGAAGGGTGTCTGAATGCTGTGGGTTTTCAGGAGGGTTTGGGGAGGAGGGCACCAGGCAAAGCTCAGCTTGTGAGAGGCACAACGCCCTGGGCCATGAAATGACAAATTTCTCCTTTTTCGCCTGCTCCTAATGCAGGGCTCATCCAAGCTGGAGAAGGCAGAAATTCTACAGATGACAGTGGATCACTTAAAAATGCTCCATGCCACTGGAGGAGCAGGTAAGAGTCACTCCTCAAGTACATGGGCGAGGTGAAGGTGGCATCCTGGGTAGGAAATTCCCCATCAGCAGGAAATGTCTCGGCCCTGCCGTGCCTTACTGCCAGCACCAGGACAAATGCTGCCTTGCCCGCTTCCCAAGGGAAATGTTTTTCCCAGGGGTAAATGGGTTGTTTCCTGCCCTCCTGTTTTTATTTCCTATAAAGTGTGGGTCAGCATCCCACGGGTAGGTTCTGGTATCCCAGACCCACAGTGATGGTGCTGTTGTCCTCATTGCATGCCCCAGTGAAGCTGCCAAGCCAGAGTTGCACTCCCAGAAATGAAGCTTGTTTCCAGAAAAAGTGATATTAAACTCCTTCCCTCCTCCCTGAGATACATTTCCTGTAGAGGCTGAGTTCTGCTTGGGAACTCTGCAAATAAACAAGGCTTTTTTCCCTTTCTGTTCTTGCTTTTTGTCTCTTGGATGTTATAAGAGGAGAGGGGGAGCCCTGTGTGAAATTCAACAAAGGTCTCATTTGTACTGAGAGCTCAGCACAGACCCTCGGTCCTGTTCCAGTTAACAGGATGGGGATCACAGCTCCAGTAAAGAAGCCTCTGGCTTTGCTTACCACCCACTTTTGGCTTTCTGAGGACACTGCTGGCATCCAGGCTTTGCTTCAGAGCTGTAACTCGGTCTGGAACATTTGTTTAGATATTCAGTTTGACTGCACTGCAACAAAGGGCTGCATTGTCCCCAGAGACCCCGGCAAGCAGAGTGGTCCAGTGCTCCACTGCTCTGTGACATTCTCTGCTTTGTTGCTTACTGTCTCACCAAGCTACGAGGAGGGAGCAGAAGCTGAAAAATCAGCCATTGTGTTTTATCTTATTGGTTTTCATGTGGCTCGGAGCTTTCCCAGCCCAGTGGCCCTGGTTCAGCCATTCCTTCAGTGGGAGGTCAGCGTGAGGGAAGTGTAAAGGGCTGAAGTCACTGGGACTCAGGCAGAGGAACTCAGGCTGTGCACAGAGGAGATGCGCATCGGCCCCGGTGCTGCCATAGAGAGGTTCCCAGCACACACCCGGCCATCTGCACTCCCCCAGCAGCCAGAACTCATAGAGCCCAAAAGAAAAGCTGTCATCCTCCCTGAGCACAGTTAATGAACCTTGTTGCTCGTCCCACACACTAGAGTGAAGGGCTTCATGACCCGGCAGTCCTATCCCACCGAGGTAACCAAATGCTGTTGTCACCCACATGGACCCGCTTGGCTGTCTGCTGCAGGGCATCACACGGCAGCAAAGCACCTCAAGTGAAATTTACGGTGCTGCAGAGAGGGTGGTGGGGTCCACGTGCATTCCTGCACGGTGCACGGCCTGACCGTCCCCGTGTCCCTGCAGGGTTCCTGGATGCTCGTGCTCTGGCCGTGGACTACAGGAGCATCGGCTTTCGCGAGTGCCTCACCGAGGTGGTGCGGTACCTGGGCGTCCTGGAGGGGCAGAGCACCGCCGACCCCATCCGCCTGCGGCTCCTCTCCCACCTCAACAACTACGTGGCCGAAATGGAGCCCTCCCCGGCGGCCGCCTCGCTGCTCCCCGTGCAGACGTGGCCGTGGTCCTTCCTGCACAGCCCGGTGCCGGTGCCGCGCCGGGAAGCCGCTCCCGCTCCTCTCCTTGTGACTGCGTCCTACCCGCGCCTCGCCGCCAGGCCGGCCCCGGTGCGCCGCGTCCCCGCCGACGTGCTGCCGTCACACCGGAGCTCTCTGCCCGGCAGGATGGCTTCCTCAGCCCGCAGGGCCCGCGGTGCCCCCTCGGCTTCGACCGCGACGGCCGCACCCCGGATGCCGTCTCCGTCGGGGGCGCCGAGGGGGGGCTCAGCCAAGGGCAGCCCCATCTCCGCTCTGCTCTTCTCTCCCGCCGGTGTCCCTCTGCCCGCAGCCTACGCTGCGCCCGCGGTGCTGGGTGCGGCCGCGCAGGGACCCGCGCTCAGGGTGGGGGCGGCCCGGCTGTGCCGCTCCTGGGCCACGGAGATCGGCGCCTTCTGAGCCCTCAGTGCCCGCTGCCCGTGGACCGGCCGACCGGGCGCCTCTCCTGTTAGCGGAAGCCAAGGATCCATCCAGAAGATTCTCTTTGCTGTCCCCTCCCCTCGCTCTTTACGCTGCCTTCCTCACCTCACCTCACCTCACCATCGCTCATCCTCTCCTTCGTCGTGCCCACGAATGTCAGCGCCATCCGCTTCCACGCGTTCTCTGGGATGGGGGGCACTGCAGACCCCGGCCCTCCAACAGAGCCCGATACTGTTCTCTGCTGCCTTATCTCCTTGGGGACTCGGAGCTCCTGGACGGACTCACTCAGGCCGTGTCCCCCAGCTGCAGCACCCAGTTCTGTGCTCTTGGGATTGGTTCTGCTGCCCTGACTGAACGCTGCTCTCCTCGCTGCGCCCCAAATCATCCTGCTCACAGCGGAGCACTGCTGGGCTCTGGCAGCCCTCAGCCCACAGCCGGGTGTGAAGAGGTGAGACACGGGATTTCAAAGGGACTCCGCGGGGAGGGGACGACTCCAACACCGATGTGAGAAGGGCAGCCCTTCCCTCTGCCTGTCGCCCTGCAGGAGCCGTCTCACCTCTTTCCCCACTGAGTGTGCAGTGCAGAGCAGTCAGACCAGCATTCCAAGTGCCTCCCAGTTTTCTCTTGGCCCTTCTCCTCCCACAGTGTCTCTGTTTTCCCTCTCCAGCACCGTGTCGCGGTCTCATGTTGCTCACTCCTGTGCCAGGACCAAACACCATGGGTGCTGCATTGCAGCCCTTGGCCAGCACTGGGTCTGCACTTGCCCCATTCCCAAGAGCTTTTCCTTCCCTGCCGTGCACCCCTGGATAACCAGTGCTGCAGAATCACCCTTGCTCCTGTCCTCCCACCTCTTCTCCTCTGGGCAGGGAGGAACACAAACTCGAAGCTCTCAAGCTCTGGGGCCGCATCACTCAGGGCTGTGTGGCCCAGCGCTCACCCTTCCCGTGGGACTGTGCCTGGATCTGTGGCTTTGTTTGCTGGGATGGATCTGGCCCTGGCTGCATGCCCACCCCAAGGATCTGCCCAGATCAGCAGCTGTGGCACAAAAAGAAAAGTGTGTAGAGGTCAGCGCGGCAGTGGAAAAGACGGAGAAGTTCCCTCCTGGCAGAGACTCTCCCCCACCCCAGGTGGAAGGCGCAGCGTGCCGGGCTGCGTTCCTGCAGAGCACGTGATGTGTGCAGCACTGCTGCTCGGAGAGTGAGTCCTCCTGGTTGTTCTGGTGAACGCCACTGCACTTAACATACAGAACCACCTCTGCTGCTCCTCCTCACCCCTGTTCCCCAGTGCCAGAAGCAGCCAGGAACACTTTTCCTCACAGAAAAGACAGAGGAGACCATGGCCCTGGCTGTCCTAGGGCTGCTCAGTGCGCCAGAGCTGCAGCAAGCAGCCTGGCCTCGCTCTGTTGGAGTCACAGCTGTGACATCCAGCAAAAGTGGCAAATAAAGTCTTTCCAACCCCTGTTGGTGTGAAATGCAGTGTTGATGTGCAGCTGTTCTGCCAGACTGGCTGCTGGGACAACCATTGGCTTTGCAGCAGATGAGCTTTGTTGAGGTGTAGTGTAAGGGAACATGCCCAACAGGAATGCTGCTTGTGGTGGCTTCTCCCGTGACTTTTTACTTTGCAAACGACTGCATGAGTTGAAATCAGCAGGGAACTTGTAGCGCTCACCCTAAGGTTGGCAATAATCCATGGCTTGAGAACAACTCATTTCATTTAGCTCCCAGCATCCACAGAAATGCCAGGGGACACATCGAAACCAATCCTGCAGCCAGACTGCAGGACTGCCCTCTGTCTGCTGACCTTCTGTGAGCAGAACCAGAGTCACCTCTCAGCTCCACGCTGGTGGGAAATGCTCCGCACAGAACCACAGCTGAGAATGGCCTCTGTTCAGAGGGGAGGATCGTCAGCGATCCCGGCCATGAAAGATGCTGGGAGAATTTGCTGGGGAATGGTGAAAATTCAACTTCCTTTCCCATAACTCCTCCTCACTCCAAAATGCCTTTCCAAACCGCCCATAAATCCTCGCCTTAAGTGCTGTGTTGGGAATTGCTGGAAGGGAGCGACTGCAGCTGCGACGGAGGAAGGCAGCATCCGTCTGGGAGCAGAGAGAGCAATAATGGGGCCATTGAGCGCAGCCACCCCCAGCGCCCGGGCTGCCCCGACGCGGCGGGGGGCGGCAGGGGGGGTCCAGCCCTGCGCGGCTCAGATTTGGGAGGCGTTCACCGACAGCCCCGCGGGCTGCAGAGCAAAGCAAAGCAGGGACTGCGAGAAACCACTTCCTGATGGCTGCAGATCAAACGGTGGGAGGGCATCGCTCCGGGCCTCTGGGGTTTCTCCCCACAGCAGCGCGGAGACTGCAGTGGTAGGTGAGGAATGGATCTCTGCTTCTTTTTCCCAGGGTTTTTCTAAGATTAAACACCTCCGGTAACACATCCCGGCAACTTTTGATCTGCCCTGTAGGGGAAATCCCCAAAGTCCCCCGAGCATCCTCGTTCTTCAGGCTAAAAACAACGAAGAGCCTATGGGAACGCGGGGCTGCGGTCGGCGCGGTCTGGCCGGGGCCGTGGGCGGCGCACAGCAGCGCCGAGCGCCTCGGTGCAGCGCTGCAGGCCGGCACGCAGCAGCGCCGAGCGCCTTTCCACGCCGGCCGCTCCCGCCCGCGACGCGGCGCCGCCGCCCCCTGCCGGCCCTCCGGACCGGACGCCGCCACGGCCGGCAGGGGGCGCACCTCGCCCCGCGGTCCTCCCTGCCGCGAGGCGGCGCTGCAGGGATGGCGCGCTGCAGGGGCCGCTCCCGCCGGGCCCGCCGCCTCCTCCCAGCCGCACGGGGCTCCCACGGCGCCGCGGCGGCTATAAAGGGGAGGGCGCCGCGCGCCGCCCGTTCTCTGCCCGCCGGGCCGCAGTGCGTGAGTGGGGTCGGGCCGCGCGCCGCCCCGGGCCGGGAGGAGGAGGAGGGGGCGGGGGGGGGGCGGCGCAGCTGCGGTCCCGGCTGCCGCGTGGGGCTGCGGCCCGTCGGGACGCCCGGCTGGGGTCGATGCGGGTCGCGGAGCGCCGTCCGCTGCGCTCCGCTTCGGGGCAGCGCAGCCTCTGACCGGCGTCTCTCCCGCAGACGCCCCGAGCCCAGCGGTGCGGACGATGAGCGCGGCGGGCAGCGGCTACCCCATGGCCTCGCTGTACGTGGGCGATCTGCACCCCGACGTGACCGAGGCGATGCTGTACGAGAAGTTCAGCCCCGCGGGGCCCGTGCTGTCCATCCGCGTGTGTCGCGATATGATCACCCGCCGCTCCCTCGGCTACGCCTACGTCAACTTCCAGCAGCCCGCCGACGGTACGCGCTGCGCCGCCGCCTCCCCGCCTTTTCCTCGCCCCGTGCCGCTGAGCCGCGCTTTGTGCCGCCCGAACGGCCGCGATGGTGGCCGCGCCGCCCTCGGACGTTCGGCTTTTCGGGGTCCCGCTCGGGGCGCGGCGCCGCGGCTGCCGGCCGCTCCGCGTGGAGGAGATGCGGCCCCTGGGGTCGTGGGTGCGGGGGGGGGCGGCGGTCGGACCCGAGGGGCCTCCGGCCTCACCGCCTGCGTGCGTTCTGTGCGGCTGCCTTTCAGTGCGCTCCCTCCGTAGGGTAAGTAGGCACTTGGGCAGCAGCTGTGGAGCCGCAGTGCGTTTCTTGCAGGCGCTCCTTAAGAAACAGAAGTCTCTCTTCACCCACTTCGCTTTTCTGAACTACTTCACAAGCACGCATCGCGCTGTCCTCTCTGGTCCGTTGGACTGTTTCCGTATTACTGAAAGTCTCCGAGTTTGGAGGCTGGGTTTGGTGCAGATCGTAAAAGGCAGCAATCTCCTCCGTGTTCCCTGCGTTCTTGTGCAGGTTTGGGCTGTTGCTGTGGTCTTCGTGTAGCCAGCGCTGGCAGAAAAGCCTGCATGCTGTCAGCCCCGGTCGGGCGCCTTTCTGCCCAAACCCTCTGGCTGCTCACCTGCTGTGCCTTCAGACCTGGGGGAGCTGAGGCTGCACGCTGCTGTATGTGTGCAGGCTGCTGTGCAGCACTCTGAAGTGATGTTCTTGAGCTGGTGGGAAGGCTGCGCTGTGCAATGCGTGTGAAACTGTGCTGTCTCGTGGGCAGAATCCGTGCTGGTTTACTCTGGCCAGATTGTTTTTAATAGTTCAATTTGGCACCTGCTTAAGTAGGTATTCCAGTGCTAAAGGAGTGGAAACGTGCGAAAGATGGGACAGAAAAGGTCACTGTGAAGTGTGCTTTTTTCTGGAAGAAAAGTAGGTCAGTATTTTCTGCCCTCATTTTCCGAGCCTTTACTTGTTGACTGGTGCTCATTTATTGCTCTGAGCTGTGATTTAGCAGTATCTATATATAGACATCTCCAGAACAGACAGGAGAGAACGCTTCCCTTGGATTCAGAATCAGTTCATAACAGTCCAGACTTCAACAGCCAGTAACCTCTCCTGTTGCCTGCAATTGGCAATCCTGCCTTACAGGAAAAGAAATGTCATCACAAAGCAGTGCTCCTGCAAGCCAATAGAGCCTCTGAGCTCTCGGCTGATTTTATGTGAGCTGATTGTGACTGTGCCCTCCTGGCTGCTGTCCTCTTCCCAGGTCAGAATGCCTTCTGTGCTCTTAAAGTAGAGAAGACCTGTAACATGTAGTGGAGGTGTGATGTTGAAAGGGAAGAGTAGCCAGTTGTGTATGCTTACTGTATCAGGAAGAAGTCCTCACAGAAATATGAAGATAGCTGGCCTCCCCATGTGTTTCAAGGTAAACTTTTTATGGTAATAAGTAGGGATGAGTTTGGAGGGATGTTGCGTCATTCTGGGCTCCTGGAGAAGCAGCAGACATTTTAGGAAGTCCCAGTGCTTGAAGTGATACTTCGACAGAGTAGCTGGTGTCCTGTTACTGGTAGATCTTACAAGGTCAAGTGACTTAAACCTCATCTTTGAGTTACTTCTGGGAGGGAGAAATGTGCAATCTCTCCTGCTCCACAGAGATCTCTTTCAAAAAGCTCCTTCCTGGTGCAGCAAACAGCAGCACGTTATTTTGTACGAGTAAAATCAGCTACTGTGCTAAATGTAATGCGGCGGAACATCAGCGGGTGGGAGGGAGAACAGTTGGTGTTGGGGTCTCTCTGAAACCAAGACTCAAACTTCATGAAGAATGTAATTTTTGTTGTCAAATACATGAGTTTTAAGCGTGGCTTTCAGGGTGGCAGTATTTTCTGTGTGAGGGCTTTCAGAGAACACAGATCTGTACTTTCTTTCCAGGGATGGATAATCAGAAATGCGTTTGGACTTTATATTATCCATTCTAGGAAATGATGGGCAGTGTTCTGTAGCACTGCTACACGGTGCATAGAAGAACTCGGGAAGCTTTGTGCTCCCAAAACTTTTAGGAAAGTTCTTGTGGGCACTGCTGGTGTGTTTGAAATGGTGGAAGGCAGTAAAGCTGATAGGATAGTTTGCATTTCCTGGATACCTTTTGTAGGAGTGCTTTGTAAATCTGAAGGTTTGTCACATCTTAACCTTTGTGTGGGAAATAGGATTCTCTCCTTACTGGCTAGAGAAGCTGAACTGTTTACAAGGCAGGTAGCAGCCAGGACTTTGCTGTTCTTTGGGGCCACCAGGAGATCACTGTAATCATATCCTGAACATCTGAGTTTCCAGAACTCCTGCATCTAAACTGGTTCAGGGCTTGCATTTTTCTTGGTTTTTCTCAGCTAATAGAGTGATGCTTTACCCTGGAAAGGGTTACTTTTTGGACATGCATTGTCTGATAGTCCACAGAGAGGTTACTTTTGGTGAAAATGAGCTCTGCTGCCTTCAGCTGAGTTCTGTGACGTGGCAGTCAGTGAATGCTCAGTGCTGGGTCCTGTTTCGATAGGCAGGCTAAGGAGATGCTTCAAAGTTCTGGCAAGTTCAGACTTAGCCATGGTTGTTAATACTTATTTTTAACTGTAAGTGGAAAGAAAACAAACTCATTTCACTTGGAAGAAAAGCTCAGTTTCCTTTTAAATATGTTCCTCGTGCAGTTTAGTTGTGTTCCAGGGTTTCATAACTTTGACAGTTAGGACAACTCAGATAATGATGGAGAGAGACTTCAGCATGGCCATCGAGATAAGCTGCTGTGGGAGTGCAGAGCACACCACGTATTTCTCAAGCCAAGAAGGAACCTGAGGCTGGGATTAGCTAACTGTCTCTAAACAGAGCTGTAGGAGGGTATAGATAAACTTGTCCTTCCTTCTTAAAGGAGAGATGGCAGTAAAGAACGACGTGCAGTGTAAAGCAGATGTGCAGTTAAAAGGAAGGAGTGGTTTTGTACATAAGCTTCATTGCTGGCAGCATTTTGTTATACTTCAGTGATCGAGGGATCTGATCTGAAAGGAATGGACATCAAGTATGTTGATTAACCTTGCTAGTTTTAAGTGGCTAAATTTGCACTGTTTTTGTTGGTCTTTATTACCTAGTGACACAAGCAAGAGCGCAGAGCTCTGCAGAGCAGCTGATAAAACTCCTGCTGAACTTCTCACGAGTGAATCCTGCTGCATGGTATCTCTATGCTGCTCAGCCGCAGCGCCCAATTCCAGCACTGTGTTAGCTCTGTGTCAGGGAGCCTAGCCTGCAAGTGAGGCTCATTACTTTGAGCCGTAAGGCAAGCTGCAAGAAGTGCTTGTATATTGGTTTTACCTGTCCAAAAGGCACTTGAAGAAGAATGGAGCCTGAAAGAGACTCAGTGTGTGTACAGTGTTGGGTTTGAGTCACAGTTCAGCCTGCTGGGAGGATGACAGGAACCAGTGGGAGGGAAACAGATACAGGAACTGAAATGGCTGAAGGTTAGTGGCTTAAGTGTGGGGAAATGCGAAGATGTTTGCTCAGGTGGAGGAAATGAATTTGCTGTGTTTATTCTGAGCACTGTTATCGTGTGCTGATCCTTTAGGGGCTTTCTCAGGTACTGGTGTGATGTGATTGCACTTCTGCCTGGGAGTGTGGCAGCCCTCAGGTTAGGAAATCTGTCTGGGGCTTTTTTGCACCACTGCTAACAAGAAGCATTTTAGCATGTGCGTGTATTTCAAGCAGAGTATAATACTGCTGTGGATGCTAGATGGCTACATAGAGCAGTGCAGTAGCATCTGCTTCTGTATGTGCTTAGAACGCTTGAAAGATCCACGAGTCACTTCACAGCCTGTTATCTCAGTAGCTGCTGCACAGCGTTTCACAGTTCCCTCTGGTTGCTTGCCACTGCTTCATCTGCCTGGCACCTTTCAGCAGGAGCTCTGTTTCTGCTGCAGATGGAATATACAACTCGTTTGTGTCCTTGCCAATGCATGCTTCTGGAGGACCTCTCCTTGCTATAAATAAACACTGCCAAATTTGACGACCTGCCCCAAGTTGCCTGCTGAAGTGCCTACCAGGAGCTGGCTATGGAGACAGCCACAGGGCTGCACTGATTCAGAGTAGCAGCTGAGGAATCATTTTAGCATAGCAGTTAATTGAATGCAACACTTTTAAATAGCTAGTGGAGTGAGTAGAGCCCAAGCATGTAAAATTTTCCTCCTGAGATGTTTTTTTGCCTTTTTAGTTTTGTAAGTCTCTCTACTTCAGTAACGAGATCCAGCAGAACTTGTTTTGCAGTAGGGACTGTGAGTGAAGGACTGGGGAAGAAAGAGATGGCACCACTTCAACTTAGAAAGCAGTAATAGGAAAAGTCTTCAAAGCACATGAAAAGCTCTAATAAACTTTCATGCAGTAATTCACTGATTTTTGAGGTAGGGAGTGCAGGAGACTTCTGTAGGCAGTGCCCCACTGAGGACTGTAGAGAGAGCTCTGTGAAATGCTGTATAGCTTCTCTGCTCTAGCAGAGTATCACTTGAGAGAAGATGTTCATGTTGGCATTTTGGTTGAATTTGCTGCTCTGAAATGGATATCAGTAAATATAACTGAGTGACAGTGGTGTGGAAGAACTGAGCCAAAGAAATTTGGAAAACTTGGGTTCTGCCCTGTTGATGTTCCTTGGTTATAATGCATATCTATCCCTTTCTTTCCCCACCTCGTGCTGGGAGTTAAGTCTCTCTTTCTCTGCTGACTCCATGTTAGGAGTGTTTCCTGGCACAGAAGAGTCACAAGCATCTGAATTTTATGAACAAGATCCTGATGAGTGTACGTAATGATCCTTTTAATATATCAGTAGGCAGCAGAAATAGAATCATGACGAGGGGGTTCAGTGTGGCCTAGGATGGCAGTGCTGGGCTTTTAAAGTTGAGTTAAACACTTCCCTGTTCATCAAGTTGGGTATCTGGATCTTTTTCTCAGCATTTTGTCTGTTCTTACTGTTGCCCTTTAGTCAGAAAGCTGGAAATCATTTTTTGGCCACAAACAATACAGGCTGAGTTGTGTTCTTCCCTGACAGCCATGTGTTTGTGTCCATTCCCCATCTCTGACCTGACAGAGAAGCGATCATTTTCTCTTAATAGAAATGAGTATGATTAGGTGAGAGCTTCCTGTATCTTTCCCTTCTTTTGATTTCAGCAATTTACCTTTATAATAGTGAGGAATAGAACTAAGTCTAAGTATGTTGCAATTCATTTCTCTGTGACTATTAAAACATTGTAATGTCAGTTCAGAATGGATTATTAAATCTGTTATGTTCTTAAGCATGTCTAGTAACTGTGCTGCAAAGACTTCCCTTGAAACATGAAGTTAAACAAAAAGTAGTCACTGGAATTGGTGGCCCATGTTATCGTCCCAAATATCTCTCTAATTTTATCTGCATTATCACTCACGTGATGGAAACTTTATGCTTTAACAAGCCATAGAAACCTGTTCTGCGCTTCTCTTGCAGCTGAGCGTGCTCTAGACACCATGAACTTTGATGTGATCAAAGGAAAGCCCATTCGCATCATGTGGTCTCAGAGGGACCCCTCGTTGAGGAAGTCAGGGGTTGGGAACGTCTTCATTAAGAACCTGGACAAATCCATTGATAACAAGGCACTTTATGACACGTTCTCAGCGTTTGGGAATATTTTGTCCTGCAAGGTGAGATGGGGTTACTTTTTCCCATTCTGCTATAGTGGTGATGTGATCAGAGACACCCAGTGTAGGAAGCAGAAGTGGCACCTGTCACCAGGTGAGGAGGGGTGGCTCTTGAAGGCAGAGTTGACCAAAAGGTCAGGGATTGCTGAAGTTATGTCAGGTTTGGTCATGAAATGTGCCAGTCTGAAACGCAGACGTCTCACTGGCTTTGCCCCCAGCAGTAGCCTGTTCTTGTTGCTGACGCTGTGCTGTGACAGAGGAGGAGGTGATCCGAGATCTGACGATTGGTTTCCTCCCACACGTCTAGGTGGTGTGTGATGAGAATGGCTCTAAGGGCTACGCATTTGTGCACTTTGAGACCCAGGATGCTGCAGATAGAGCCATCGAGAAGATGAACGGCATGCTGCTAAACGACCGCAAAGTGTGAGTGTCACAGCCAGCAGCAGCAGCGAGCGCATGAACCGTGATGCATCTCGGTATTAACAGGGACACACAAGGTTCTCCTGGCCCAAGCCTTGGCCTGCTACCTCTCCACTACAGGGCTGGTGAGTGACCCTGCCCAAGCCATGGCCTGCTCCCCTTCCATTGCAGGGCTGTGGTTTCCCTAACCGAGCCTTGACTTACTCCCTCTCTGCAAGTGGGCTGGGTGGGTGTCTGGCCAGTACTCTTCACTGCAGAGCTGGGTGGGCATCCTAGGCTGCTGCTTTTCACCGTAGGACAGGTGACTTTTCTGGTTGGTCTGCGGCCCGTTTGTCCTGTTCTGGCACTCTTTCTTCTCCCTGTCTCTGGCTCCTACTACAAATTCTTTTTTTTTTTTGCTTCACTGCAAATCACATGCTGTTTTTCCATGTTTTCCATTTCCTTACTTAGTTTTCATTCTTTCATGCAGATTTGTTGGGAGATTCAAGTCTCGTAAAGAGCGGGAGGCTGAGCTGGGAGCCAAGGCAAAGGAATTCACCAACGTTTATATTAAGAACTTTGGGGATGACATGGATGATGAAAGACTAAAGGAACTCTTCAGTAAATATGGTAAATACAGAAACTCTTAATGAGACTGTGAATTTTATGACCTGTGCTAATTTAACGGTGCTGCTACCATCTGTATACGTCTACTGGGGTCACTTTGAGGCTGATGAATTGGAAGAGTTGAGGAGTGGGTAGTAATTCTGTCAAACAATGGACAGGAGGCAGAGAGTGGCCAGCAGATGAGTGAGAGAAGAAGGCTAGGGTGATTATGTGGAGCTTGATAGTCTTGAAATAGTCTTACATTATATTTTACTAACCCTGTCCCTTGGTAACAGGTAAGACTCTGAGTGTTAAAGTGATGACAGACCCCACTGGAAAATCCAAAGGCTTTGGCTTTGTAAGCTTTGAAAAGCATGAAGATGCTAACAAGGTATGACCAAGTGTTAATGCTGCTTGGGTGTCTTTGGAGAAGAGTTTATTTGGCTTACCACAGAAGCAGGTTGAGATAAAGTTCTGCCTCAGATGTAACCTCTTCTGGATGTGGGGGCTTGAAGCCATTTGCACATCACTACATTGTTCCCTTACTTCAGGATTAAGCTGACATTTCTCAGATTAGATGCGCACAGAATACAGTTATTTAATCTGAACATTAATTGCTGAAGAAGTGCTCTGATGGATGGCTTAGGGAGTGAATGTTCTTAAGAGTATTGTTTTTTGAGCCTTATGTTTGTTGTTATTTGACACTAACTACATAAGGGGTGGGGATAAATTCACAAGTTCCTGTTGTTAGTCCAGTATTATGGTAAGGTTGTCAGCATGGTCTCTCCTGATAGCTTCAGTTTATCTTTAATTAGCTGGTGTTAAACAGGAGCAGTGCAGAGGTACCGTGGCAGTTTTAGTTTACTGGCTAACAAGCAGGGAGATTTTTGGGCTGCCAAATTCTTAACAGATCGGCTGCTGCCTTGTTTTAGCAATTGACAGTTTTCTTTGACCCCTCTGTCCAGGCAGTTGAAGAAATGAATGGGAAGGATATCAATGGGAAAATGGTGTTTGTAGGCCGAGCACAGAAGAAGGTGGAGCGCCAGGCAGAGCTGAAAAGGAGATTTGAACAGCTAAAACAAGAGAGAATCAGCCGGTATCAGGTGAATAGTCTGTCCCTTTTCTGAATTTAAGTACAGTTTTCCATCTATTGGTAGACTTAAAAGGCACTGACAAAGCAGTCGTCCTGTGATATATCCTTAGAGTTCAGACTTCAAGGTGACTCCATGGTATTTGGAGGCAAAGGAGACTTCTGTGCATGGTCTTCCCAATTAAGTGCTTAGGTGGATATAAGAGAAGTCATGCAGTCATCTTTAATTTCACATGAGCGTACCTAAAAGGATGGAAAGAGATAATGTGACTCTAAACTGTTGGTTTAGTTTTTAGCAAAACTGTGTCATGCCAGAGATTGCATCTGAATCTTTCCCACTCCTTGCAATATAGTGCTGGACTGGGGACACATGATGCAACAAGAAAGCAGAGGAAATCCAGACAGGCTCTTTCACTGCACTGGGGTTTGTCTCTACACCTTTGCAACATTTATTGCCATCAATGTTGGTTGTATGACAGTGATGTCCTGCTAAGTTAAGAGGTTTTAGACAAATGACAGCTTTGGCAGATGGATGCTGACAGTTGATGTGCTGAAGATTCTCTTTACTACTGTAGATGTCTTAATTATCCTACTGTTCTCTACCTTTTAGGGAGTTAACCTATACATTAAAAACCTAGATGACACTATAGATGATGAAAAACTGAGGAAGGAATTCTCACCTTTTGGGTCAATAACAAGTGCAAAGGTATTGTGGGGCTTGGGGATTTCTGGATTTTAAGGCCCAAAGAAGGAACTGTTACTTGACAAAGGACTGAAGGGCAGATGTATATCTCCTAATTGGTGCAGTCATGAGAGTTTTGGGCTAGTGAATAGGCAGATTTCCTTGGGTCTCGTTGTGATTTTACTGATAACTTATTTGATTCCTCATCAGAAGCGGGGGGATGAGAGGTGGAAAACATGCCATATCATGCCTATTGGCAAGCAGGCATTTCTTCTTATTTGATTAGAGGCTGCACCTAATCTTTCCCATTCCTTGCTGTGCAGTGTGAGTCTGGGGACGCGTGGTGCTGACAGAAAAGCAGAGTAAATCCAGACAGGTGGTTCTTTGTTGAGTACTTGTCTCTACACCTCTGCAACAGTTCTTCCTTGAAATCTTTTATTTCTCTACAGTCAAAAATAGAGATTCTTAACCTGTTCTTGAAATGTTGCTCCACTAGCAATTGGTCTTTACTGCAGGTGATGCTGGAAGATGGACGGAGCAAAGGGTTTGGCTTTGTCTGCTTTTCCTCTCCAGAGGAAGCTACGAAAGCTGTGACAGAGATGAATGGTCGAATAGTGGGCTCAAAGCCACTCTATGTTGCTCTTGCACAAAGGAAAGAAGAGCGAAAGGCTCATCTAACTAATCAGTACATGCAGCGCATTGCTGGGATGAGAGCCTTGCCAGCCAACACAATCATTAATCAGTTCCAGCCTGCTGCTGGCGGTTATTTCATGCCTGCTGTGCCCCAGGTAAGCTGAGCTAAGTTAGTATGGTTTTATGGACATTTTAACTGTGCTTGTGCCTTGAGTTGTTTGCATTCATCCCATTGAGTCTTTCTTATGCCCATAAGCAAGCAAGTCCTAATAGGGAGTGCAGTCAGTGGAGTTAACTGTGATGTCCCAGCTGTCTCTCAGTTTGAGTTGGGTGTTGAGTCTGGGGAAAAACTGCCAAAACACACTGTAAACAATGCTCGTTGTTCACTTACAAACCTTTGAGCTTGTTTGTTCTCCCTCCAGGCTCAGAGTAGACCCACTTACTATGCACCCAATCAGATGGCACAGATGAGACCCAACCCACGCTGGCAGCAAGGGGGAAGACCTCAAGGTGAGCATCTAGAGACTGCTTTGGTGGTACTGCCCTCTGGGTTGTGCTTTCTGGCAAGAATGCACGCTTTCCTTTCTGTGCACAACTTCAGCTTGCTTCCTGTAGCTGACTAGCCTGACTTACCAGTCCGTTCTGGTTTGAGGATTTCCTCTCATTTCTTCCATCAGGCTTCCAGGGAATGCCAAATGCCATGCGCCAGTCTGGACCACGGCCAACACTGCGCCATCTGGCCCCTGCTGGCACTGCTCCTGTCTCTCGTGGCCTCCCTGTTTCTGCCCAGCGAGTTGGTAAGGTGTCTGCCTCCCAGGCTCTTCTCCTCAGCTGCGGGGGATGAGGATGCTATTGAGACTTGACTTTTACTTCCAAAGGTGGTTGTCAGAAACAGATAACCAAAGGCCACGTGGAGCGAGGGGCAGAGACAGCACCTGAATCTTTCCTATTCCTTGCTGTGCAGTGCTGGTCTAGGGACAGTTGGTGCTACAGCACAGCAGCAGAAATTCAGATGGGTTAATTTCCACTGCTTGGAACTCATCTCTACAGCTCTGCAACATTTACTGCTCTAAATAAGACTGTATGTTATGGATATTGCTCTCAGGGTAGAGCATCCAAATGTTATTTTAGGGAGTAACTAGAAAATACCGTAAATGCAGAATGTAGAATAGTTCTTTTCTGAAATATCCAATTGTAATTTGGAGACCAGTTTCTAAGCCAATATTTGCCTGTGCAGTGCATAGTTTGAATTTAGTGGTCATTCAGACACCTCAGGTTACTTGCTGTGCACGGTCCTATGGATGTTTTTAATCCCGCTCTCCTTTTGCAGGTGTTTCCACTGCAGGACAGAACTTGGCTCCTCGTCCACCTGTAGCTGCTCCTGCTCCCAGAGCAGTTCCCCCTTATAAATACGCCTCAAGTGTCCGCAGCCCACATCCACCTGTACAACCTTTGCAGGTAACACAAGGATCTGTGCCTGAAGCAGCTGCAGGCCAACAGGTTTTACATGCAGCTGAAGAGTTTTTGCAGAAACAATCAGCACAGCATCTATTTTTGCATCCTCCTATCTGCCTTTCTATAGGCACCTCAGCCTGCAGTACATGTGCAGGGACAGGAACCACTAACAGCCTCCATGCTGGCTGCTGCCCCTCCTCAGGAGCAGAAACAGATGCTGGGTGAGTGAAACTCAGGTTCTTCCAGATTGCATTTTACTTTGAAAATGTCCCCAGGTTTCATTAAGAGCTTTTAAATTAAAATGGCTGTCTGAAATCCTTTTTTTTTTTTCCTAGGAGAACGTTTGTTCCCTCTTATTCAAGCTATGCACCCCAGCCTTGCAGGAAAGATCACAGGAATGTTGCTGGAGATTGACAACTCAGAGCTGTTGCACATGCTGGAGTCTCCGGAGTCTCTCCGGTCAAAGGTGAGCTGGCCTGTTCCCTTGGGTGGGGCAGACTGTGGGACCCTTTGGTTGAGAGACAATTCTCACTCGCTGGCTCATCTGTCTTCCTGGAGGTGGAGGAGGCTGTTGCAGTGTTGCAGGCTCACCAAGCCAAGAAAGAAGCTGCCCAGAAGGTGGGTGTGGTTGCTGCTACCTCTTAAGCCAGGAAGACTGGTGAGTGTCTCAGTCCTCTCAGCTTTAATTAAAAGCTTCCAGGATTGGTAAATAAAGCAAGGCAATTACTAAGTGTACTTGGTCTGGGAGGCTTATGTTGGTCTGGGAGCAGTGCTTGTCCGATTTTAGCCAATTCTTCAAAACTCTTTTTAATTAAGCATCAGAAAGACGATGTGTAAGTTGCTAAAGCATTCCTGTTAGTTGCTATGTCATGGAAGTACAGCAGGTTGAGATGAGCCTTGTGACAGTGCTGATCCAGGAGATAAAATGACACGCAAGATGTTCTGGTGAGTTCAGGGTGAAGTGCTGTGCTGATGCCCATTCCTTGTCCTGGCAGTGTCTGCCTCCAGCATACATTAAAGGGCTGCTGTCAGCAGGGCCATTTCCTGGTACAGGTCTGTCCAAACAAATGCTGTCTCCTGTGTCCAGCTCCAGAATTCTAAAGAAAGGCTTTTATTTCTCAGTATCTGGTAGGTAACGTCTTCCTCCTTTTCCTGTAGGATGCAAAGAAGCCAAATAGCCCCTCCCCCGATGTCAGCTCAAGATGTTTGCAGATTCTGCACTGTCCTGCAGGGCTCCTCGCCGTGCGACGCATCGCGTAGTTGCATTGCATTTTATAAATTAATCCTTGGAATCTTACGAACCGACTCTGCGCAGCTCTAGATTTCCAAAACCAGAATTGAGCTCGCAAGCTTCTCCTCTGTGATCAGAGCGGGGTTGGTTACCCTTTGTCCTTTCTAAGCAGAACGTCGAGCATTTCTGGTTAAAGCATTTTGTGGTTTTGGTTTTAACTCGGAGTCCAGCGTGGGAAGTTCCGGAAAGTCTTTTGTCAATACAGGAATAAAATCTTTGTCTGCACTTGTCATCTTCCTCTCTTGGTGCGTGATTTTGACGTGGCCGATGGAACTCAACGGCCGTTCAGTTGCCGGTAGAGTTGCTTCGACGCTGCCCGCGGCTCTGCGCGGCTCGGCTCCGGTTCGCCTGCGCTCGCACCTCCCCGCCGCCAGGGGGCGCCGGAGGGGCGGGGCTTGCGCGAACTTCCGGGGCGGGGCGCTAAGATGGCGGCCACCAAGCGGGTGCTGTACGTGGGTGAGTGGGGCTGCGGGCCGCGGGCGCCGCGCGAGGCGAGCGGGGCGGTAACGCTGTGCGCCGCAGGCGGGCTGGCGGAGGAGGTGGACGAGAAGGTGCTGCACGCCGCCTTCATCCCGTTCGGCGACATCACCGACATCCAGATCCCGCTGGACTACGAGACCGGTGCGTGGCGGCGCGCGGGGCGGCGGCGCGCCGTGAGCCGGGCTCTGAGCGCGGGCTGTGTTCGCAGAGAAGCACCGCGGCTTCGCCTTCGTGGAGTTCGAGCTGGCGGAGGTGAGGGGAGGAGCGCCGCCCTCCGGGCTGGCGGCCGGGCCGCAGGGCTGCCCTGCAGCGGGGTCGGCGCGCCGCGTTTGCCGTGCGCTGGGCAAGGAGCGTCTGCCCGGCTCCGCACGGCGGCTTCGCTCCTCCGGTTGGCACTGGCGCGGGGCGTGTTGAGGGCTGGCTGTGGAAGAGGTGTTTCCACGCCTGGGGCGGATATGAGGGCCGTTGATTCCTGCGGCCCCGGGGTGTGGGAGGCTTAGGAGAACAGCCTGATGGTGGCCTTCTCCAGAGAGCTGCGCCGACTTTGTGTGCCGAGGCTTTTTTCTTTAAAGGAAGAGAGAAGTGGCTGCAGCGAGGTGTCCTCTTGCTCTTCACACAGGATGCAGCAGCAGCCATTGACAACATGGTACGAGGCCTGCCTGCCTCACAGCCCGGAGCTCACCTCTGCTGGAACACGGCTGGCCCTGGCCGGGAGCTGCGAACAGCCTGGGGTGGCTCCTGCTGCGTGTGCTGGGTGACGCTGCAGACACGGGTCTGGCTGGGGCTGTCCTGCCTGGCCCTGCTTTGCTGGCGGGTTGCCGCTGCCTGTGGTCTCAGTGCAGCTCCTGAGTTGTGGGGCCCTTGTAGTGCTCAGAAGTGGGGAGAGAAAACCAGCCCTGTTCTCTGCAGAGATCTGCAGAGGGCACATAGTGAGTTTTTACCCTGTGGTGGGCTTTGTTCTTTTTTTGTCCTCTGTAGAATGAATCTGAGCTCTTTGGTCGGACAATTCGAGTGAACTTAGCCAAACCAATGCGAATTAAAGAAGGATCATCTCGGCCAGGTAAGTTGGTGCCTAGCAGAGGAGAAACTCCTGTGGGTGTTCAGCGCTGGGCGCACATCAGCCTTTCTGGTTTCCCAAGGCTCTGCTCGAGGGGTCCCGAGAACCAAAAACATCCCCCAGCCCCTCAGGCAGACATGGCTGCTCTTCTAGTTGCTCTCTACAGGGGGCCAGATGGGCACTCACACGCCAGGCAGGGTTACCATCACACCTGAGATGGGAGGGGGCCCACGCCATGCTAAGCAAAGTGCTGGTGTGAGGTGGATGGTGGCACACAGCCAGTGAGCTTACCTTGCCTGGGAGAGCTGCTGGCTCTGTCCCTGTGTCCTCATGTGGTGGGGTGATCGCATGAAGTTCTGGGAGTGGTTGGGTCAGCAGCACCCTGGGTGCACTCCTGCTGCTGCCAGAGCTGCGCTGAGTCCTGAGTTGTTAGGCCCTGTGCTCACCCTGCCCTCCTCTGCTGCAGTGTGGTCAGATGATGAGTGGCTGAAGAGGTTCTCAGGAAAGACTCTGGAGGAGAACACAGAAGAAGGAGGAACAGAGGCACCCAAACCAGACACACAGGAGGTAGGGATGGATGGAGCTGGTTGTGCCCTGCTGAGTGCCTTCGAGTGGGGAATGGCCACGTGGGGAACTGGATGCTCCCAGCTTTGGGAACCAGGAGTGAGCTGTGGCCGTGTCTGTCCCTATGTCCCCAAAAGCTTGGTGAGCCCAGAGGGATCTGAGTGTTTTTGCTGCATCCTGCAGCAGCCCCCAGGCTGTGAGGAGCCTCCATTTGCTGCATGCTGCTTCCAGGGACTTTTGGAGCTGCATCTGCTGCTGGCCCTGTGCCACAGGCTGGGATCAGACCGGCCATCAGGTGGCAGAGCTGAGCAGCAGCAGCACCACTGCGTGTGCCTTCTCCTTGCCTAGGGTGAGCCTCCTGCCAAGAAGTCCCGGGCTAACCCCCAGGTTTACATGGACATCAAGATCGGCAATAAACCTGCAGGGCGGCTCAAGATCCTGCTGCGGTCCGACGTGGTGCCCATGACTGTAGGTGAGCAGTGCTGCTGTCCCTGCGGCTCACAGGCTGTACTGCTGTGCTCACCTCTGCCCCTTGCCCTGAACAGAAAACTTCCGCTGCCTCTGCACTCAGGAGAAAGGCTTCGGCTTCAAGGGGAGCAGCTTCCACCGCATCATCCCCCAGTTCATGTGTCAAGCTGGGGACTTCACTAACCACAACGGCACTGGAGGAAAATCCATCTATGGGAAGAAGTTTGATGATGAAAACTTCATTCTGAAGCACACGGGGCCAGGTAGGGTGAGCGCTGTGGGGTTCCTCGAGCTGCTCTGACCACGCAGCAGCAGCCCCAGGGCCTGTCTGTGTTGGCCCAGTGCCTCGGCTGCAGTGTGCCCAGGACAGAAATGCAGCCCCCTGTCTCTGCCCACACGTTAATTTCCAGTCTTATATCATGGAGAATTTCAAAGCTGCTTTCCCGTGGGGTTTTAGGGGAGGAATGTTGCAATGTAGCTATGAGCATTGGAAAGGTGGCAGAAAGCAAGCAGGCTGATCTCCAAGACTTTGCTGTTGCTAAACAGCAGTTAAAAATAGATTAATGCTCTCCACCACTTCACTCTGTTCATACTTGTAGGTGTTTCTTGGCATCATCAGCTTCCCGCAGTTTCAATATTCAGAGACTCTCTTAAAACCAGCATTGTCTGCACGGCCCAGGAGGGGGTTTTAGTTAATTATTGGCATTGCTCCCAGTAATGCTGCGCTGTTTGGTCCCAGGGCTGCTGTCCATGGCAAACTCCGGCCCGAACACCAATGGCTCACAGTTCTTCATCACCTGTGATAAAACCGACTGGCTGGATGGGAAGCACGTGGTGTTTGGGGAGGTGACGGAGGGCATGGATGTGGTGCGGCAGATCGAGGTGGGTGCCGCGGTGAGGCGGGCTGTGTGCCCCCACCCTGTGCCACCCATCTGCGAGCCTTCATTCTTCTTCTCCTGCAGGCTCAGGGCACCAAGGATGGGAAGCCAAAGCAGAAGGTGATAATCTCCGACTGTGGGGAGTGTGTGTGACCGCAGTGCTGCTGCCCAGCTGCCCCTGCAAGGTTTGGTTTGCTGTGCCTGCAGCGGCGCTGCGGGGCGAGGGGGGAGGCGGCTGCTGTGCGGCGCGTTGTGCCTGTGCTGCTTTCTGCTCCCACTGTGTCTGCCACTCGCTTGGTAAAGACTTCCTGTATTTCACAGAAATAATAAAACCGAATTTTAGAAAAACAAAGGCCTGTCCTGGCTGTTGGGTTCTCACTGAGTGAGGATGCTCTTTAAATCTCAAGTTTTGGAATACTCCTTGCAGACATCCCCAAGCCAGCCCTGACCCAGGAGCATTACAGCCAGGGGCATTACTGCATCCTGAGCTGCTTTGTGTTGCCTTCATCAACAAATGGAACCTTTCCAGTATGGTGAGCCCTTATCCCAGGCAGCAGGAGCGGGATGTTCCTTTTTTGGTGCTCACCATCCATGGGATTTGGGTTGGTTTACTGCATTTTTTTTTCTCTGTTTTTTCCTGTGTGTGTGGGTAAGCCAGGTTCCCTGGGTGCCCCAGAACAGCCCCAGCTGCCACAGTGCCTGCTGGGCTCAGCTTCAGGCAAATAGGAGCAGTTTTAGGCCATCGTGAGTATTTTTTCATTGCGAAATTCAGCGTGCAGAACAGAACGTCGTTGTGCTGTGACATTTATTAAAAAACAGCAAGAGAAACACTGTGTTTACTTTCCAAACTAGGCATTTATTTTATAACAGTGTTGTAGCTCAATATGTATTATTTTTTTTCCCCTTGGCTGAGTTTTGTGAACTCTAAGTAAACAGGAGCCTGTTAGTCAGCCGGCTACTTAATTGGCTGAGGGTGTTTTTGTGTAGGGAACTGAAAGCCCTGCTTGGAGCCGGGCTGCCCAGCTGTCCTCGGAGCCGCCCTGCCTCACCCCGGGCACCGCACATCCGCCACGGCCCGACGTCACCGACCACAAATCCTCTTCCTCTATATATTTATATCTATGCATGTATAGTATGGATGTTTCTCATTACGTGTGGTGAGAGAAGGGAAGTTTTATATTATTTACATCCACTTCTGGGAAGGGAAAGGGTTGGGCAGACAGGGTGGTGGTGTGTTGGGTGGGCAGCCCCGGTGCTGCTGCAGTAAACCCCCCCACACACAGCAAGGATGCCCGGTGCCCCATCTCCCCCCAGGTGCTCAGTGGCAGCCGCAGGACTTCACCACCATGTTGCGGTGCTTCTTGAGGATCACGTTGTTGTTGCTGTCGTAGTAGAGGACAGAGGTGGCACTGAGCTTGGTGGGCGCACAGCACGCCTTGGGCACCGCCTCGGGCTTCATCAGGTGGACCTGGGGGGCAGAGGGGTTGTGGGCATGGGAGAAGCCTCAAAGCACCCCAGTTCTTACCTGAGAGAAGCCTGGGTGAATGGGGGATTATTTCCAGCCTTTTGTAAAAATATTTATTCTAAACCCTTGGCAGTCCTCACTGCAGTTTATATTGGATCTGGACAGCCCTTCATTCATTTGAGTCTTCTGGACTCGGAGCCGAGCCCTGGCACTGTGAGGTTTGCAGGCAGCTCCCCCTGGCCTCACCCCACATGTGTGAGCCATTTGCCAGCAGAGCTCTCCCAGCTCGGAAGTCCGGTGCTGTGCTGTCCAAAGCTGCTATTTGCAGCACTGGGCTGGCGCAGCTCCCAGTGCCAGGTGATTCACGTCTGAGCTGGGAAGAGCCCTGGGCCGGGGCTGAGGGTGGGTGCCCACAGCGGGGGGGGCTCAGGCAGCTTCATTAATGCAAAAACTAAACCCTGCCAGGAGACACCTTCAAAGGCTCAGCCGAGGACTCGGCGCTCCCTGTAATTAACTGCGAGCACCGGAGTCGGTGTGACTCCACCATTGGGAAATCAAGCACTCACAGGTCAGGAAATTCCAGAAATTAAAGCATGGGTTGCAATGTGGGGTGGATTTGGGAAAACGGGCAGTGAAGCCTTCCTGCTTGGAATATGCTGAGCCCAGCGCTTGGGCTCTGCGGGGCCTCGGGGGCAGCCTCTGTGCGTGGGGACAAGGAGGGGTCCGGCTCCAGAACCCCCCCAGCGGTGCCACCCCGGGCACTGACCAGGGACTGCAGGATGGCGTGGTTGGTGGCGTTCATGCAGGAGTCCAGCGGGAAGGCGCACTCCCCCTCACAGTAGTAGGCTGAGTACCCCTGGGGGGCGATCACCCAGTCCTGCAAGGAGAAGATGTTGCACTGGGGCACTGTTTGCTCCTCCATTCCTGCTCCCCCCCACCTCCTCCCCAGGTTTCTTCTGAAGTTTGGGGTCACCAAAACTCCTGCGAGAGGCTGGGAGCTGTGGCTGTGTGGGGGGAATCGGAACCGTACCAACCAGCCAAGGTCCTGGAAGCTGACATAGAGCTCATGCCTCCGGCAGACCTGCCGCCCATCTGCAGTGTGGACATCATCTGCGGAGAGAGGGAGGCAGCATCAGCCCGGGGTTGGGGTTGTGCTGTGGTACACAGAGGGCACACGGAGCCTCCTGGGTGCAGGCAGGGCTGCGCTCCCGGCCTGGAGGAGCAATACGGGAATGGGCAGCAGAGCCTCGTGCTCCCTGCACAGCCTGGGCTGCTTCGCAGGGCTCTTACCAAAGATTCCCGGCAGCTTGTTGGGGTGTGGGAGGTCGTTGCTCTTTTTGGGCTGCCTCCTGCGCGGTGCTCTGGCCGCCCGCGTGGCTCGCACGGGGCTGGCGCTCGCCCGGAAGAAAGTCACCATGAAGGGCTGCTTGGAGCGGGGCCCACGGCGGCCCAACAGCCCCACCGAGCCCGGCTCCACGCTGAGCCCTGCAGGGACAGAGCGGGGGACAGATGCGGGCAGGTCCTGCAGGCAGGCACCGTGCAGCATCCTCAGCTCCGCACGCGCTGTTCGCTGGGTGCTCACACGGTGAGGCTGCATCCCGCAGCACCGCCCGCCCCCCAGGTGGGAACCGCACGCAGCAGAGCTGAGGCAGCACTGAGGGTGTTTCTGGGGTTCTGGCCCCGATGCTGCAGTGGTTCTTACCATTGTCTGTCTCCACGTAGAGCCGCAGGCCCAGGTTGTACTTGCGTTCCACCAGCCAGTGGCTGCTGGCGGCTGTGACGTCGAACACCAGCCAGCCCTCGGTGCCGGCACGCAGCTGCTGGGCGTCCAGCAGGAACAGGTTGGACTCCCTGCAGATGGGCACAGTGGTGAGTAACGCCCCGAGGCTCCTACATCCCACAGCCATTCATGGAAATGACTCCTGTGCCCATGCCCATACAGGCCCCGGTGCTGCAAGGTCAGGACAGCGCTCGTGGCTGTGTGAAGGTGGCACCCTGGCAGCTGCCCTGGGAAAAGCACAGTTCCCTCCTAGCACTGCGTGTGTCACTGCCTGGGGATGCCGTGGGAGCAGCACTTGGCATGGGGTGGGAAAGGTGAAGGGCAGAGGTGGTGCTCAATGGTGGCCCCAAACCCACCGCAGTCTTAGTCCCTATCTCTATCCCAGTTCCCAGTCCTATGCTGTATCTCAGCCTCCATCCCTATCCTGGTGCCTCATCCTATTCCATTCTTCATCCCCATCACGGTCCCCCTTCTGGTCTCCATCCCAGTTTTCATCCCTCTGCCTACCCCTGTCCCGCTCTCCATCCCTATCCCCATCCCATTCTCCATCCCCACCCTCAGCCCTATCCCTAACCCTTCCCCACCCCATCCCATCCCCGTCACCTGTTGGCGTGCTCGGCAGCGATCTCGTAGATGCTGACATGCAGGGTGCTGTTGCTGTGCCGGCTGACGCCCCGCGCTTTGTAGATGCGGAACTCGGCGGCCGTCACCGACTCCCCTGCGGGCACCTGAGCCAGGTCGAAGCGGAACTCCTTCCAGTAGGGCTTTGGGGAGGAGGTGTCCCGGTCCTGCTCCACTGCAGGGCACGGGGGTCAGGGACTGCCGCCAGGGGCTGACCCCACGTCCCCCCATCTGGGAAGAAGCCACGCTGTCCCCGTGCCCTGAGCCCGCACACCTGCCTGCCTTGTGCTGAGGGAACACGGGACGGAGGGAGCGAGGCGAGAGCAGGGCAGGTGTCCGGTCAGTGCTATGTGCCAATAACCCCACTCCTTTCACTGAAAGTCTGCTTTCTGCAGAAATCGGCGCCTTTTGGGAAAGGAAGCTTCTTTTTAAACCCATAAAGGAAAGCACAGAGTGCTGCTTTGCGGCAGGGCATCCCCACCGGGTCACTAATGTGTAATTATTTTCTTCAAATTGTTCTTTAAAAGTATTCCAGCCTGCTGTGGCTGAACATAATTAAGGTGATTAACGCTCCTCCTGCTTTAAACATAAATGAAATGATACAAATCTCAGCTTATGCCTCCTTTAAAAGACCCAAACACACAAAATCATGAATAAATAATCAAACACCCTCAGATGCCATTTTAAACCATTTCCAGTGGGGCACATTCCTGATTTCACACACCCCATTGTTTTCCTGCCCATTTGTTCATAGGGCAGCTCAGCACACCTCTCTGAACCGAACGCTGAGATGCTCACTATGTACCCACAGGTCTTTTTTTTCCTCTCTTTTCCTTTTTTTCCCCTCTGAACCCAACACTGCATTCCCTCCAGCCCTGGGGTTCACCACAGCTCTGTTTTATATAAAGCTCAGGGCTGGCAGCCGGGCGGATGCGGAGCCACTTCCTGCAGGCAGTGAGCAGCCACTGCAGGGTGGGGGGACGCCGGGTCCCCCTGTGCTGCCCGGGTGGGCCCTGGGGCTGAGCCCCTGGGAGCTGCAATGGCTCAAAAGCCCTTTTCTGCACTGTTCTGTTCACCGCGCTGTGCCAACAGCTCAGCCCTGCCAGAGCCCCCAGTGCTCCTGCAAAAACCCCCACACCACAACTGAGCTGCCTCCCTGCAGCCAGCGAGCACCCACAGCACCCGTGCCAAGGCAGGGGATGAGTGTAGGGACAGCCAGCACAGACCAGCATCTCTTTGTACATCCTTCAGGCACGGGACGAGCTGAGCTCACAGCATTGCGGTGTTGAGGTTCTGTGCCCCATCTCCGTGCCTCTCTGCAGCGGTTGGAGTGGGCACTGTCTCCCTCCCCCCCCCCCCGTGGGCCCAGCTATTGATCAGGGCAGTGTTGACTCAGCACCACCACCCCACAATTAGCTGTGGGCGGGTGATCCGGGCTGCGGGCGAGACACTAAAAACACCCAACCCCAGGTCCTCTGCTCTCCTTGCCCCCTCCTCCTGCACTGTCCCACCCGCCAGGCTGCCGTGTCCTTTCCCAGTCATCAGTGTCACATCCTCCATCCCAAATAATGGTAACACCACACATACCTTATATAATGGCATTGGGCCATGCAACCCCAGCTCTGGTGCCCCCAGGTCCTACACTTCGCCTCCCCCCCCCATTTTATTTTTAGCTGCACTTCATTGTACGCATTCTGTGCGCTGCTTCTATAAAAGCACATCAGTGGTAATTACGGGTCCTGGCTGCACCGAGCGGTTCCTGCGACCATTTCAGGCACTAAATTAAAAGGAAATGCCAGGATATTCGACCACATCAAGCACACTGAATGCTAAAATAGGTATAAAGGAGGTGCAGGGAAGATGCTCCTTCACTTGCAAGGAGGGAAAAAAATAAACTCCAGAGCTTTTCAAAGCCAGGGGAGATAGAGGAGCACTTCCAAGCACAGTGAGTGCCGCTGAGCCTCCGTTGGGCTCCTGCTCCATCCCATGGAGCACCCTTCTTTCTAAAAGGAACACAAAGGGCACCTTCACCTCAGGATAAAAGCACTCCCCTGGCTGCAGGCATAGTGGCTGTGCCCCCTCCCCAGCACTCTCACAGAGCACTCCATCATCACCCATTGGAAGAGGACAGGTAGAGCCACTGGCACCAAAGCCAACCCAAGTGCCAAAGGCTGCCTGGAGCTGCTCGTGCCCATGGCTGCACCCGGGCTCAGGCTCTGCCCCGCAGAAGGGGATTGCACTGCATGCAGGGCTCCATCACAGTGGATGCCCACACGGGGAGCAGCACGGTGCCCTACGGAGCACCGCCGTCCCGCATTTGCACATCCCATAAGGGTAATGGCATAGCCAATTATGCATGCAAATGAATGTTAGCCTTCTCCCACTAAAAAAATTATTTAATTAAAATGAAGGGGCTGGAGAAGCCGCAGAATTCAAAGCCATTCAAATTGAAGGCTGAAGTCGTGCTCATCAGCTCTCTGCAGGGGATCCAGGCGGCCCCACTTCCCATCCCACCCAAATCGGTCGCAGTTACAGCACGATTTGGTGTTCATGTGCGGAGCACTGAGCAGAGCTAGGGACACATGTCCCAGCACCTACCTGCCCTGTCCTGGCTGCCCCATCCTGCAGGCACAGCAAGGGGGTTGTCCTGTGGGGTTTCCTGATCTCTGTGCAGCCCAACGCTGCAGAGGGATGCAGAGAAGGATGGAGAGGACTTGACAGACACCTCAGTAGCCCTACCTGCTCCAGAGCTCAGTCCTGCGGCACCCCACACTGGGATCCTTTGTCCCCCACTGCTCCCAGCATCACCTGCATGACCCCCCACGGGTCTTGAAGTGCTGCTTCCCACTGCACACCGCGGTGCGGCCAAAGCCCGGACACTGTGGCTGGATACCCAACACCTCCCCCTCATCTTTGCAAGGGAGCACCCCAAAAACCTCGTGCTTGGCCACAACAGGCAGAGAGGAGCACGCGAAGAGCCTAAATCAAAGAGCAGAGACAGGAAAAGCTGAGTACGCGCTCAGGATGCCCAGCGGACCCCGGCGGGTGCCGGCTGGTGCTCTGCTACATCGCCGCTCACAGTGTCTGGGAATGGGATGAAGCCGGAGCTCAGCAACCAGCCCGACGGGATTCCAGCAATAATGAGCGACCGGGAGGGTTTTATTCCGAGCCGTGATTCAGCGGTGTCCCACCGCAGGTAATTGGTGCACTTCTCTGCTGGAAGGGGGAGAGCAGCGCCCGCCCGCCCCGCCCGACTTCTTCGTGTGCAACACCGCAACGGGGTGGGCGATACGGCCCCGTCCTGCGGGGTTTGCAGCTCCCGCGGTTGTGCCGTGATGGAGACCGTAGTCGGGGGGCCGGAGAGCTCAACTCTCTACAGCTCACAGCACAGCAGGGCTGGAAGCAGCGGGGAGCGAGCGAACCCAAGCCACGCTCCGCGTACCGCTTTCCCACCCCCCACTTTCCCCTTCGCCATCGCCGCTTTCTCTCGGGCGCAGCCGTGGGGAGAGCCCAGGCCTCAGCCCCGCGCCCCTCTCCGTCCCTTCCCGCCGTTCCGAAGCCCAACTTGAGGCGAAAAGGGCCATTTCCGAGCGGGGAAGCGCGGGGAAAGCGCCCGGGATGACGGACGCCGACAGCCGTCGGGGCAAAAACTTCGGTCCGGGGTCGGTTCTACCCGCGACGGCCGCTCCGTCCCGGCCCCCCCGGTGTCCCCCAGCGCCGCACTCACCCATGTTCACGAGGCTGACCACGGTGTCGGCGTGGCTGACCACGCTGCCCGGCGGAGGGCTCTGGGTGCTGAGCCCGGTGAGCACCGGACGCGACACCGCCTCCTCCTCCTCCTCCTCTTCTCCGGCCACGGCGTGGTACAGATCGAGCATGAAGAGCGGAGCGGCGGCGGCGGGGGCGCGGGAGGCGGCGGGGGAGCGCGGTCGGGGCCGCCCCGGCAGCCCCAGCACGGCCAGGATCTCGCGCTGCACGTCCCGCCGCTCCCCGCCGCTCAGCCGCCGCTGCCCGAACCCCGCGGGGAGGCGGCGGCGGAGGACGCTGCCGCTGCCCCACTGACACAGCACCGCCGCCGCGCACAGCAGGGCCACCGCGCTCAGCCGCCCCCCGCGCCCCGACCCCATGGCACCGCCGCCCCGACCCCCCCGCCCGGTGCGGAGCGGTGCGGAACGGCCCCCGCGCGGCGTCGGACCCGGGAGAGGGAAAGGGACGGGCCCGGCGGCGGCACCGCCCCGGCCACGGTGCTCCACGCCCGGCACAGAGCGCAGCCGTCCTCCCACGGACACCCGAATCCATGGCCGCCTGACCCCACGGACGTACACCCCTATGGGCACCCAAACCAACGAACGTTTACCCCCGTGGGTACCCAATGCAAAAGGCACCCAAACCCACATTTACCTCAATGGGCACCCAAACCCACAGATACCGCAGCCAACATCTAACCTTACAGAACTCAAACCAACGGACATCCAACCCTACAGACACTCAGACCCATAGATACCCAAGCCTGACAGTGCACTCACTCACTCTTCCCCACAGACACCCCTGCAATGGGCACTTATCCTGTGCACCTGCCCACACAGATGAACCTCACCTGCCACCCATGGGCACCCACCCCCTGCCCCTCAGCTGCTCTCAGTCCCCACATCAGTGGGATCCACGCGTCCAGAGATCCTCCTGCTGCACTCCCTGCACGTGGGGCTGTGCAGGGCTGCTGTGCTGGGGCTTGGGATGAACACCTCCAACGTGGAACACCAAACTCGGGAGTAAGGTAGGAGGCAAGATTGTTTATTACCGCAAGCAATTGTAATACAAAAATGTGTCTGTTTTCTTTTTTTAAACAATTCATTGGTAGAGCTTCAGGTTTTTTTGCCTCAATTTAAACCAATTGAGAGAATCACACAGCAACACGGTCAGAGCCGGAGAGGAACACCATTCAATAAATACAGGGGCTCCGCAGAGCCCACTCCCCGCAGCCCCCGGCCACTCAGTTCGGTGTCTTACAAAGAGCGTACAAAAGCCGGGCAGGACGTGCAGCGAGTGTGCTGGTGAGACTCATTTCAAGGACAAGCAACTGTGCGTGTAAGTCCAGATTTCTCCTAGGAGCAGAGGTCGCCTGGTTGGAAGTGGGATGGCCAGAGAAGTAATAAATAGGAAAGGAGGTGCAGGTGAAGGCGCCGGGTTGTCTCTGAGGTCATCACAGCAGAAGAATCCTCCAACCTGCAGAACCCGCCGCCGCCGTGGGACGTGCTGAGGGGTCCCAACCTGAAGCAGCCCCTGTGCCCCCCCGCAGTGTGATCCCTACAGACCAGAGGTGCTCAGCATCGCTCAGGACAGCGGCTGTGAGGGACCCATAACACCCCTGTGCTGTGTGCAAATCCCATCCCAAACTCCGCGCTCTTCGGGTAAAATCACATCGCTTAAAAAAAAATGCATGGAAACAGAAGCCCCGAGAAGTCCCCACACCTCACGTGTCTCCGCCTGAGGTACTGATTTACAAAAAGAGTTCCTTGAACACTGTAGGATTCAGGTCTTTGCTTTTAAATATAATTTACCTTGCTGAGACAGCAAGTTAAGTTTATAAAGATGCATTTAGGAAACAATCCTAAAAGATATCGCAGGTCCGCACCCTGCACCGCGCAGAGATCCTATTTATACCTTCGGTTTTTTACACTTTCCCATCTTGACCTTTTTTGTTTCCTTTTTTTTTCTTTTTCTCTCCCACGTCTCCGTTTTCCGCCCCTCTCCGGACTGCGGGCACCGAGAGGCAACGTTTCTGTTTTTGTTTTTTTTGTTTTTATCTACATAAATATTCACATGAAAATCGTAACTTACAAAAAAAGAAAGAAACAAACAAACAAACAAAAAAACAACAGAAAAAAAAACCAAGTAAGGCAGCTCCATAACACGACTTTCTTTTACACTTTTAACAATATAGCTTCTCCCATTTAGAATAAATATACATCCAATGTACGCAGCGGGGTTAAAAATCGGACGCGGGTGAGGCTCGCGTGGCCGGAGGGCGCGGGTACAGCATTATCTCTTGGGGCCCGGAGTTCTGGGGGTGGCAGTGGTCGTCTTCTTGGACATGGTGGGGATTTTGGAAGGCTTGGCGCCGCGGCGGGAGCCGGCCACGCTGCTCTCCGAGGTGTCGGAGCACGCAGACTGCGTCTCCAGCAGGTCGAAGTCGGAGGCGTCGCTGCCCCGGCGGCTGCTGGCTCTGCTGCCCGCGCGGCTGCCGGCGCGGCTGGTGGGGCGGCTGGCGGCTTTCTTGGGGTCTGCGGGGAGCACGGAGCCCTCAAGTGGCCGCACAGAGCCAGCGAGCGGCCACACACGGCCCAGCCCGCAGCTCCCGGCTCTGCCCGCTGCCCCGCTCCCCCCCAGCCGCGGTCGGTCCTTGCCCCACTTACCTGCCCGGCCGCTTTTGGCACCCGAGGAGACGGGCGAGGAGCTGTTGCTGGTGTCCCCAACCAGCGAGGTGCGGCTGGAGTGGAAGGTGGGACGCTTCAGTTTGCTGCCCGCTCCCGGCGTCACCTGCAGGGAGGGACAGCGGCGCTCAGCAGCGCGGCACAGGGCGCAGCGCGACGCGGTGACCAACCAGCATCCATCTTAATGGTCAGGGGGAGCACGAGATGGCATTTCGGCAGTGGTTAAAAAAAGGCATAACATAAAAAAAAAGTGGGGCCTGAAATGACTGACAGCACTGTGGGCTGAAACAAAAGCAAAGCTGCTGCCCATGGGACAACAGCAGCATCGGGCCAGCAAAGAAAAGTGCAAAATGTTGGGCTCCACATCCCGGCATCCCATCGCAGGGATGCACTGTAGTTCTTTGAGCTCAGAGCCGACCCACGGCCAGGCAGGACAGACAGAAGGAACAAATGGGCACTGAGGGCGATGGCCAGCTGCTCTGGGCACAAGGCTGTGCCACACACAGGTGCTTCCCGTGACCTCTAAGATGCTGCAAAGGAAGATGGGGAAGCAGCACAACCCGCAGCATTGCTCCCATTGCTGCGGAGGAAAGCGAGGAGAGGACGCACAGCCCAGCCCCAGCCCAGGACAGCAGCAGCTCCAGTTTCTGGGATGAAGCAAAGCTCATCCTGGGGATTGCTGGGCACAGCACATGGACAGCCCCAGCCTCTTGTGCTGCTGTCCTGCATCCCACAGTGTGGCTCAGAGCAATGCGAGGCCCCACTGTGTGATCTTTGGGATCTCCCGAAACTGGAGCCAGGCTGGGGTAGGCAGGAGGAGGGAAGCCAAGCAGTGGGCTCTCCTTCAGCCCCAGCAGGAATTCAGATCCGTTATCATGTGATTGTGAAGGTACTGTTCCCACTGCAGAGATCTCGATTCTCACCCTTGATCAGAAACAAGCTCAGCAGCAAGCAGGCAACGCACGGCAACGCACAAAGTGCTCCCGACCTTCTGCTGATCTCAAAGACCGCCTGATCTGCTCGAGAGCACTTCCAGGCCCCATCAAGTTATGTTGCTCCCCTCGGCAAATCGCCCTCTACCCCCACACTCCTCATCCACGCAGTGAAGCCCCAGGGAGGAGCTGCATCCGATGGACCGAGGCCGCCCTCCCCGGAGCGCATCGCAGACACCCCACTGTGTGCATCGTGACGTCGGAGGCAAAGTGGTTCCCGTGCATGCGCTGTAGCTGATTTTCACGTCTTAACTCGGCTGTCTGAATGCCAATCACCACCTCTTCGGGATGCTCAAAAGCTCTGAAAGATTCTTTTCTTTTTTAAGAGCACACAGTAAACGCTCAATCTTTCGGTTTGCAATCAGAGAAACGCGTGCTGTGAGCATTATCCCGAGGCTGGTGCTTGGTTTGGTCCGAGTCAGAAACCCATGAAAAACGCTACCAGCCCTCGAGCCAGCAGTGCTAGCAAGCGCTGCTACCAGAGGGAAGCGTGAGGCAGATGGACGCGGGAGCTCCGCCTGCAACAACGGGTCCTGGGGCTGCGGGAGAGGACCCTACCTCAGAGCTGGGGAGCTGGAGGTCGGGGTAATCAGATCCCCGCAGCGGGGTGCCCGCTTTACTGTTTATCAACCAGGGTTTGTCATAACATCGAGAGAAGTGATGAGGAGTCTGTGGAATGGAAAACCCAGAGAGGGGGGAGAGGTGGGAGTGAGTGAAAAAAAAAGATGGAACAGAAAAGTAAACTGGAACGAGAGGAGAAGAGCACTAAAATGAAACGAGAACCAAACAGGAAATAAATAATAATAATGAAAAAATCCAACAAATGGGTGATGGAATAAAACATGCCAAATGAGGTGGGAGCAGTGGGCGGGCCCTTCTCTCCAGGCCGTGGCACAGCCCCACTGCGGCGGCTGAGGGACAGAGGGTGCGGCACCGCTGCGGATGGACGCCGTCCCACCTGTGGGCTGCCCTGCAGGCTGCCCCACGCACCCCTCCCCACAACCTTCCTCCTCCTCACGCTGCAGCATCTGTCTCACGGGAACGGGCTGCCAAAGAAGGTCCTCCCCCCAGCCCTACCTTGGCTCCGCTGGCCGGGGTTGCGGGAGACGACGGCATCGAGGCGCAGCTGTGGTTGCTCTGGCTGGCGCTGGAGCTGGAGCGCGTTGGGGAGGCCGCCCGGGAGGACGGCTTGGACCTTCGGCCCCGCGAGCGGAACGGCGTCATGCCCTGCGAGGCGCCCTCCGGCAGGATGAACTTCTCCCGAAGCTCGAGGTTGGTCCGTCCTCGTGCTGGAGGGACACGGAGAGGAGAGCTGAGGGCTGCATCGAGGCGGCACTGTGCCCGACGATCAGGAGATGTCATCCTTGCCACGTCCCCAGCGGGCGAGCGGATGGCCTCAATGCTGCTGCGGCTCTCCTGCCCACCCACCTCGTGCCATGGATTATCTCTTTGAAAATTCATCTGCTTAAAAGCTGCCTGAGGTCCATAAATCCAAACTGCCTGCATTGCTGTTCTCTGGTTTCTTGGGGAAATCACGTCGGAATGCCCTTTAAACATGGCATGTTACAACAGTGGCTGTTCAAAGTGGCTTAAGAATAGCTTTGAAAGGCTGTGGTTCTGCTCTTGGCTCTGGGCAGCTCTTCACCAATTTTGGGGTCAGGTGAGAGGGGGAAGATAAAGGCCAACATCAACATTTCCATCCAA